CAGCCATGTGTATAAGTTAGGTTAAGTTGAATAAGTGAAATTCTATATATTATTTACCTAATTTAAACCAATACAGACAGATTAGTATATTAAGGAGAGAGTCACTAATAATTAATTTACGGGTTTTTACTTACGCTGCTGCTTTGACACCCATAAATTCGGCTGATAGATAGTATAAACTTATTTAATCTTTCATATATATATGTATATATATATGAATTTTTGATAGAATGAAAATACCCTATTGTTTAGCTGCTTTCAAAATAACTCACTGAAAATTGCAGTGCCAGATCCTGAGCTTCTTGGTCATCGGTACTGTTCGATGCTGGCTCATACCAAGTGACGGACGATGAAAGTGAAATTTTACCTATAGAATAGAAACACGTGAACCTTGTATTTGAGAGAATTTAATAAATTTTGAGAAATTCGTGTCTTCCAAAAACCTGATTGATCAAGAGTATCAAGTCATAAATAAAGTGTAACATGATAGATGCGTGTTATTTCGTCTTGGCGCACCTTAATTTTCCAAATTACTTAATTGCCTAGAAAGCTTTTTCTGAGATCAATAATTGCTACTCGCAATATCCTGATCATATCAACGTTTTAGTGTTTACATGCGTTGTAAGAAATCGTTGTTATCTTATTAACATTTTACAATTGTTTTGAATATCTATGACGTTGCATATATTTGCATTGATTTTTTTCTATCAATCTATCAATTGCAGCTGGTTTAGATTAGCGCAGTTTACGATACTCTTCAATCAAGTTGCATATCGAATTAAGACTAATCATAATGGGAACGGTGCGAAAAAAGTAGCACGGTCATAAGATAAGAACATGCAATTAATTGATGTTGTTTTCAAAAACATTTTAAAATGAACTTTAGAAAATCATCGCAAATAGGGACAACTAAACGGAAAAGTGAACAGTTCGCAGTTCATGTGTAGTAATCCTGGGTAACACTGTGTTGAGTTGTTGCCGCTCTCTGAGTTACTGAGTTATAACTCATCGGTGAATGAGTCATGACTCATTTATTAAAGCCGATCGAAGCTGTACGAAATCCTAGACTGGAATTTTAACATTCGGGGTATCGTTTTCTCAGCAACGGAACTGAGTTACTGAGTTTTTTGAGCCATTTGCGCAGCACTGCTCCAACAGCTCAAAATTCACCCTAACCTTTTCTGTAGAAACGATTGCTTAAGTATGCGGTTTTTCTGGTTTTTGGTCTAAAACGAGAAAAGACCCTCAGTTTGCCATAGTTCGGAAAGAGTTTTGTTTAGAAATATTGACCTAGAAGTGAAGAAGCCTGAATTAAAAATAACTGAATTATTCACAGCGACGAAGTTGGCGAATTTTCCAAATAATTGATAATAAAGTTTCGCTTGTTCTCTTCGGAAAGATATTTTTGAGAAAAAACCGAGAACAAATTATTATGGTTTTGTCCAAAATTGGAAGCTACAAAAGTTTTAAAAAATCTTTACAAAGCGGTTAAGGAGGGGAGTGTTCCATAAAATGTATTTGATAATTTGTCACAGAAAATACCTGAATATTGTCAGTGTTTGAGTATTGAGCAATAAAAACTTTGCTAAAACAGGAAAGGCCTGAAATTTTAAATAAACTTTAAAATTCTTTAGAGCGATGAGGTTTCCTCGAATCGGTTCGAATTTTCCAAATAGTTTTTTGTAAACTTTTGCTGGGGCCGTTTTTTAACGATAGCCTTAATTACTTTGGGAAAAAAGTAAATACAATTATTTGGTTTTTGTGCCAAATTCTAAGCTGAAAATGGCTTTCTAAAATTTCCTGCAAAGCGATGCACGAGACCAATTTTCTAACAAAATTAATTGTGCTGTTTTTGGTTGAAAAGACCCCATGATTGTCGGAAAACAAGAAAATAATGGATTTTTTGCGCTTTCGATTAAAAACTTTTAACTTTAAAAACTTTTTATCTTTGTCTTTAAAAACTTTATGTTTTGTGATCGGTTTTCCAGAAAACCTTTTTCGGAAAATGGGAAAACTTATTTTCGTTTTTGTCCCGAATTCGCCGCTGAAAAAGGTTTTTGTAAAATTCCTTCAACTATAAATTTATACCTCCAGATTGTCAGTATTTATAAGTGAAACTCTATAAAATAGAGCTTGTTTGAGTATAAAGTAAAGCAAAAAAAAATCCATCAAAACTAAAAATCAACAGTTTTCTGTATGTCTTTATTCTGTTTTTAATGAAAAATTAGTTGATTTTTGCCTTAAATTTGAAGCTGGAAAAGGATTTCAATACTTTTTACGAAACGAC